ACATTGACATCATGACCGGCCGTTGGCATCTATTTGATTCTAGTGTTGGTGGTTCGATGGACAGCGCTATCGAGTACTTTATCAAGTCCCACGTCATGTCTGGGGACACTGGCGACTGGGAGCGTTTTGAGCGGACGGTGCGGGATGTCAACCGCTATTTGAGAAAATGTGGCATGTTGACGACTGTCGATATGCGCAGTGGCCGACCGTTTTCTTCCGCCCATCAATCCCTGGCGTCGTTCTTTCCGGGCAACCTGATTCTTGGCGGCCATCTTGCAGAGGCCACTGAGAGCAACTGGCCGATCCACAGCATCTTCAAGCACTTCGGGGCGTTACCAGAGGAGTTTTCTCTGGGAAGTGGGGGTCCCCATGGCGGCTACCCGCAGCGTCCCGAGCATGCGGAATCTGTGTACATGCTTTACCGCGCGACCCATGATCCTGCGTACCTTGTGATGGGGAAGGAGCTGGCATTGGCGATCAACTTGCGCATGAGGACCCCGTATGGGTTTGCCACGCTGCGCAACGTGGATCTTCCGCACGGTGATGAACAGCACGGCGACACGATGGAGAGCTTCATGCTTGCCGAGACGCTGAAGTACCTGTATCTTCTTTTTGACGAGTGCAATGCGGTGCATGTTCAGGGGAAGCTCCGTGGCAGCATCCCGTCGTATTGCGCTGCTGTGGAGAGCGGCAGCAGTGTGGGGAGTCACGTGGGGTGGGTGTTCAACACCGAGGCGCATTTATTCCCCAACACGGCCGAGTGGTGGGGGCCAGTGTCTGCAGAGAGCGCAAGGGAAGAGGAGGAGGTCTCGGGAGACACGCTGACACAGCGCCGATTGGATGTAATTGATAGTCTTATTGATGGTCTTCATGAGTTGCAGGGCGGTGACAATGACCGTGGAGGAGGAAATACCGCCCCGCACCGATTTTACTGTGCTAATCATGCGCTGAGTGACGTTGAACGGATTTCGAAGTCCATATTCCGCTGAATTGGCAGAATGTTTGTGCATGAAATGTTGTTTTTTGCTTTTTTTTGCTTTTTTTTGCTTTTTTTTTGCTTCTTTTTTGCTTTTTTTTGCTTTTTTTTTGCTTCTTTTTTGCTTTTTTTCCCTCTTTCTTTCTTTTGTGGTGTGTGTGTGTGTTGGCGTGGTGTTGCGAATAAGTAGTGTGACTGGTTGCGCGTGTCGGGGCATGGTGTTTTTTTTCCGGAAACGACGCACTGCCTCGTCAACATGTGTGTGCTACTGCTCCTTCTTTTCTGGCTTTCTTTTTTGTGAGGGTGCGTAGATAGTGTGCAAAGTGCGTATTTATGCGTTCTGGGGGAGACGGTAAAAAGGGCCCTGGGCCCGCGGCATGCATTTTTTTGTTGGTAGCATTACCGCTGGTGACGGCCATGTGTGTGCGTGGTGGGGGGCCCGGTGGAGGTGTGGGCGAGGATGAGGGAGAGGGTGGCGGTGCGTGGCGCAGCACCGATGCCTTGCACCCCATTGAGGCCGAAATGCGGCCTTACGTGCGCGAGATGATAGGGCACGCCTTTAACTCCTACATTAAGTATGCCTTCCCGAAGGACGAGTTGCGCCCGGTGAACGGGGCAGGGAAGAACACCATGGGCGGCTACGGGTGGACG